TTTTTGGAAAAGTTGTAGCAGAAGTTCATGAAATCTTGAATTATGGATTTGAAACCCATGTAGAGGTTTCATTTTTGTTCTTGTGATTTAATAAGTTTCTAATATTTTATTAATGAAAATGGATTCCAGCTTGAGGTAGACATCCAGTTCTTGAATTCTATTCAAATTCCTTCCTGAAACAACTTGGTACTTTATGCCTGGCATTCTCTTTTCATATTAGCATTGCCATTTAGTATTAAGTGAAAGCTGACTCATGGCAATTACCAAAGGAATTACAAATGACCACCACAAGTCCTGAAAGAAGGCATTGATTTGATATTGCAGTGAATACCAGAAGATGTTGTAATGATTTTCCAGTTATAAGAAATGAATTGTCCATTTAACTTGGAAGTCTAACCAAATGTGCTTAATGCATATTGTATTAATCAGTGCAAAAAATTAAATATGCTCAGGCTGAATATACCGTGTTGTCATTCTTACACAAAATGATATCTTTGGGATTTAACATACACTTAGTATTTTATACTAATTTAGGAATGTATGGGGAAAAAGTATAGCTAAAGTTGGTTTGGCATTGTACATAGGTTAATAGCACATAATGTTTTAGTAAGTGCTATAGAGAGTAAGAAATTAAAGTTAGGACCCAAAACCACGAGTTTCCTGTTTCTTGCCTTAATTCTTCTTCTTACTGACAATCTTAGGGTAAGATAAATCTTGTGTTTTGTGTCAGTCAAGCAACCAGAAAGTTACCTTTGTAATATTACATTTACTCTCATCTCGTGAGGTTCCAATTATTTTTTGCCATCCTTGCCACTCTTTAGCAATTACATTGATTTCGAGAGGGAATTTCAATTTATTGCTGTGTTTTATAGAACTGAAATACAAAATAGCTCTCCAGGTTTAAAGTTGTAATAGAGAAAAGTCATTGATTATGGTGTTTTTTTTTTTTAAAAAAATAAATTTATTTATATATTTTTGGCTGTGTTGGGTTTTTGTTGCTGCGCGGGGGCTTTCTCTAGTTGCGGCAAGCTGGGGCTACTCTTCGTTGCAGTGCGCGGGCTTCTCATTGTGGTGGCTTCTCTTGTTGTGGAGCAGGGACTCTAGGCGCGTGGGCTTCAGCAGTTGTGGTGCACGGGCTTAGTTGCTCCGTGGCATGTGGGATCTTCCCAGACTAGGGCTTGAACCCGTGTCCCCTGCATTGGCAGGTGGATTCTTAACCACTGCGCTGCCAGGGAAGTCTAATCATGTTTCGTATCTGACATTTTAAATAATGATTGTTGGAAAAGTTAGTGTTCGTATCTCATGGTTCATGTAATAGTATTTTTCCAGAGTTGATGAGAGAAGAACAGCTTAATTTTTCACCCTCTTTATAGGCAGTACTGATAAAAAATCAAGAAATTAATTTGATACTTTAGGTCTTGACTATAGAAGAAACTAAAGCTGATGCTTGTGGATTATATGCTGTAGTGTCAATAATTTCTCTTGTTGCTATGAGTAAAATTATGGAATATTTTTAAAGAAGGGGCAAAAGTGGTTGAAAATTTAATTGGTTTAATACTACTTTAGGGTATCATCTGCACAAGAGATGCAAAGGAGTTTATTTACTTCAAGAATATTTTTTAGAATATAAGCTAATTTTAAAAATTGTTAAAACAATATTTGAATAGGGGTTGTACTAAGAATAGTATGTATGATTATGTGGCGGAGTTGGTTAAGAAGTGGTGTTTTTCAAGGAGCTATTGTTTTAGCTGGAGAGATAACAAAAGTAATAATATTAAGTTTATTACACACAAGACTAGCATGATTATCAGATGAATAGTATTATAGTCAATAAATGCAAAACCCTAAGGAAAAGAGAGAGCCCTTAAAATGGAATAATTAGGTGTGCCTTTATGAAGAAATTAGCATTTAAACTGGGTCTTGAAAGATGGGTTTGCATCCTTGCAAAGGAAAAGAATGGGAGGCATTCAGTTGGAGAAAATAGGGTAAAAGTATAGAAGTGGAACTAGCAGAATTGGTTTTTGTAGGACAATGAATAAAACATTGGGAATAGGGGAAAAGTGAAAGCTGGGGATACAAAAGTAAGTTTTATTTTAATGCTGTAGCCAGGCATGTACTGGCTATTTAAGGTGTTGTTTAAGCAGGGGAATAGACATAGGAAGATTGATTTAGATACAGTTGTGTTAGATATGCTTTACATACAGTTAAAGCTGTGATAACCAGTCTCCATTAACCAAAATTAATGTGAGTGGGGGCAAGGGAGTAGAGGGCGTATACAAGGGCTATGTGATTTTAAGCGTGGCAGAGAGATAAGTGAGGACTTTTGGGGTGGAGGGTAGAGAAAAAAGTTGGATCAATGGATTGTAGGTTCTAATGGGGTTTAAGAATTGTTGGAGTGGAGGTACTAGAGGGAATGAGCTGGAAGGACAGAAGGTTGTGGTTGGAGAGCACAGTGTTTGAAGTAGAGATTATGGAAGGGTTGAAATTATTAGTAATGACCATGAGAGTGAAATGGCTAAGGTAGAATGGAGGTCAAGATCATTATAGGAAAGGAAGTTAGGGAACTGAGGCACCAGGGTGTTGTAAAATCATCTAACCTGGATATTAGAATGGTAATATTGTGTAGTTGAATAGTCATGGTTTAATAAGTGCCCTTGTATACATTCTTGTCTAATTCTCCCAGTAACTCAGCAAGATAAGTAGTATAGGTAGTAAGTCTTTCATAGATGAAGAAACTGAAGATAAATTAAGTATTTGCCTAGTACAGAGCTGAGTTTTGAACTTTAATCTTCTGATTTCTTTTGTAGCATTCTTTCTGCTGTGGTACATAGTTTGGCCTCTTTTTGAGGAGATGAGTGTTGGTATTGTCTACATTATGCAAAGCATTGTTTCTCTTTAATAAATAGCAGCATTTTCTACCAGTTAACTAACTGGTAGGAAATAGTTGGTATGCTTATCATTAAATATTTTTTTTCCCAGAACCATCTCAGCTTAATTGGTTCTTCATGACTTCTTGCTTGCCTTTTTGCTGTTTATAGGCCTACCAGAAATTCCATTCCATTTCCCAAACATTTATTGAGTGCCTGTTTGTTAGCACAGCATCATAAAAAGATAAGAAAATAAGATTTTTAAAAAATTAGTCCATTTTGTTAATTTGTTCCAGTAAAAGAGTAGATGGCAGAGAAGAGTGGTACTTCTACTGGGTACTGTCAAATTAGGGTACCAGAAACTTATCCATGACCATTATAACATCAAAAGTTGACTGCTGTGGAATCTAATGATGCTACTGTCAGCTACTATTTTTTGAGTAGTTTTACATGCCAGGCCTCGTGCCAAGGCGTTTTGGAGATATTTATCTAATCTAAGCAACCATCCAAACCAGGTGGTGGTATCCTTCATTTTACATAAGAGAAAACTGAGAAATTGAGGCCACACAGTAAACTCAGTTTTGAACCTTGTTTTCTCCTAAAATATGACTTTTCCTGTCTTTCCTGATTGTTTCAAGTATAAGATACAAACGCACTAACTTGGTTTCTAAGACTCTTAAGCATCTGGTGCCATTGTAACAGGTGTATTTCTTTTCTTCCCCCTCATTGTCCTGTCCTGCCATTTTATGTAGTTTATGTTATTATCTGGACATGCTAGGCTCTTTCATTGTTTTTTGTTTTTGCATATGCTCTTACCTGCCTGGAATTCCTACTACTCCTTCTTTTTTTTTAAAAAAAAAAAAAATTTATTTATTTATTTGGTTGCACCAGGTCTTAGTTTCGGCAGGCAGGTTCCTTAGTTGCGGCATGCGTGTGGGATCTAGTTCCCTGAGCAGGGATTGAACCCAGGCCCCCTGCATTGGGAGCAGGGAGTCTTATCCACCACGCCACCAGGGAAGTCCCCTTACTACTCATTCTTCAAGACTCAGTTTGCTGTTGTCTCTGTCGTCTTCCCTAGGCAGAGTTAGTTGCTTCATTTTCTGTGCTCCCACAGCACTTTGGTCATATTTCAGTAACAACACTTTTATTAGTAATAGTAGTAGCTAACAATACAGAGTGCTCTCTGTTAGGTACTGTGGTATGCATTATTATATTATGTAATCCCCTGGTAAGGTGGGTTTTATTTTTATCCCCATTTTACAAAAGAAAAACTTACCCACTTCACACAGCTAGTGAGTCGAAGAAGTAGGTTTCAAGTAGTTTGGACCAGTCTCAGCCTTTAACCACTGTGTTGTTTTATTTCTCCTACGGTATACTTTGTAATACTTATTATAATACTTATAATTTATCTCATCTCCCTGGACGTGGAACTCCTTGAATGCAGTCTTTCTTGTTTTATTCATTTTTCTAGTATTGAGTCAGGGTCTGGCACCTACAGGTTGCTCAGGTATTTGAATTAATGGTTAAGTAGAGGCATGTATGTAGGAAGGAAAGACTTCGTAGAGTCTAAGAAGAATGTCCAGACTTGGTGGCTCAGCTTCCTGCTGTGCTGTGGATTATCTAGGTTGACCTGTTAGTTCTGTAACATCCTAAAGCCAGTTGAAGGATATTTCAAGTGTGGAGGTTGTCTTACGGAGAGTTATAATCTCACTTTATTTTATATTGTATATAATTTCAGCAATCTTTTAGTTGTGAGTTTCCTTTTGTGTGACACATTGTACATACACATTGTTTTTCCTTGGACTAGTGCAGAATTTTTGTCAAACGTCTAAATAGATAGACATTTATCATACCAGCCAGTGGTGAAAAATAGTAAGCATTGCTATGGGTCTCAGAGGACTTCTTTTTTTTAAATTAATTAATTTATTTTTTCTATCTATTTATGTCTATCTTTGGCTGCGTTGGGTCTCCATTGCTGCGCGTGGGCTTCAGTAGTTGTGCCACGCAGGCTCAGTAGTTGTGGCGCATGGGCTTAGTTGCTCCGAGGCATGTGGGATTTTCCTGGACCAGGGCTCGAACCCGTGTCCCCTGCATTGGCAGGTGGATTCTTAACCACTGCGCCACCAGGGAAGCCCCTCAGAGGACTTCTTAACTATTGTCTCCATATCTTTTTGAATGCCTCAAAAATGGTTTACTGACTTTGCCTGCATTTCTGAAAAAGGTCGACTTCTCCTATGCGGTTTTAAAAAGTTCCTAATTTTTCAGTGTAATGAGTTTTTGGAAACCAGTCCTTTCTTGTTCTAGTCAAATTATCCAGAAAATTTGATATGTCAAACAGATGTACGTGTATTTTTAGATGAGTGTGTGATATGCTTATACCCTTGACTCAGTGTAATGTGTTTTCAAGTTCTTAGATATTTACTGAGATGATTTAGCCAGTTATCTTTCCTACCAGATTACATAGAGTTAAGTTTTATAAGTGAATTTATTCTTCTGGGTTACTGACTGGCCTCAACAGTGCCTTAAAATAATAATTCATTATTTTGTAACTCTTTAAATCTCAAAACCTATGCAGTAATACTGTAGTGTGATCATCTGGAATTTACAGCTGGGGAAACAGGCCTAAACCCAGAGAGTGGTTTGGTAATCTGCCCAAGGTTATACAGCTAGCAGACAGTAATGATTTGATTTCTGGTGTCTCTGACTTCAGAGATCTTTGGCTTTACGATAATATACTGGAAGGCACTGGAAATCAGACTATATCATTAAGAAAACAGTAGTGAAGAACTGGGGTTTTTGAGGAATTGACCACAATGGTGTTTCTGTCTACTTTCTAAATTGAAATAAATTTTAAATATACTAATAAAAAAACAATAATCCCCCAGAATGTCCTTTTTTTTTTTTTTTTTTCTGGCCAAGCGGCTTGTGGGATTTTAGTTCCCCAACCAGTGATAGAACCTGGGCCCTTAGCAGCGAAAGCGTGGAGTCCTAACCGCTGGACTGCCAGAGAAGTCCCAGAATGTCCATTTCTTTTTGGATAGGTTTTTCATCCTGAGACATTTTCTTTCTGAATTAAGATAATACTAGAATTAGTTTATTTGGAATGAGTAGGGCAGAGGGAGACAGAGATGAATTCTCATATTTATTTGTTGACAGAGGAGGACTGTTTTTATTCATAGATGAAATATGAAGCTGTTCTGTATGGCTCTGTCTGCTAAACAAAACTATTTTTGGTCCATGGCAGGTGGAATCAGCATCATTATACGTTTTGTATTTAGAAAGTCCAGATTATAAACAAGTATGTTATTTGAGTTGTGACGTAGGACTGTGATTAATATATACACTTGGAGACATTAGACAATCTCTAAGGGGCTAATGGTAAATACAGTACAAAAGATAAATTTTGGTTGGGGAGATTTGGAGCAGAGAGACAGGAACATCTACAGTATGCAGCTAAATAGCCAGAGCCAGGTGCTAAGATAGGGTTGGCATGAGTGGTACAATAAACTGCCAAAGATAAAACTTTTAAACTTGGCTCATACATAGTCTAGATAGGAAAAGCCAGACAGGATTTAAAATCTCAGTCTGTATAATCCTTGTGTTAATGATTGATTTGACTATTCAGATCAGAACTTTGGATCTGCCGACTTTGACTGTGAGTAATGGTTTTCTTTTTTTTTTTTTAAGAAATGGTATTAAATTTTAATAGTCATAAGAATATGGAAGAGACTCACCTCTTTAGGGTCTTAAATATTGTGTTTTGCTATTTGAAATTATGGGCTGTTTGTTGTGATCCTTAAAGAATTGTCCCACACTTTTCTTTAGCTCTAGTTTTCCCTATTAATTACCATATAGTTAATCACTGGAAAAGATACAGCTGTGGGATTATGTGGATTCCGAAATTAGCACTGGTTAGCAAAAAACAAGATTATTTATATGGATAAATTTAGGGCAACCCCTGTCTCTATTTATATTTAAATGATCACTACAGCTAAATTTGTAATGAAAAGTTTCCACATTAGTCCTGTGCTTGGAAGCAGAATCCTTGACCTGTAAGGAACTGGAGCTACCATGTACTTTAATGACACGCAGGTCAGTCAGTTTCTATTCATTTGTAGTTAGACCTACCACAAGTTGATACTTTTTTGAGAGAAGAAGCAGTTGAAAGAAAGTCAGCTGGGTGTATGTATACATGTGTGTGCATTTAAAAATCTTTGACACATTTTTTGGTGTGTGCGTGTCTGATCTTTTTGAACTTACATTTCTGATCAGCATAAATGAAAAACTATATTTGAATTCTGAAAGCAGGTAATATTTAGAAAGGAAGAGTTGATTTAGACAATGGAATAAATGTTCAAAGCAGTCATCATTGAAACCAAATTTTAAGAATGCTCTAACATAGGATCTGTGAATTTTCACTAGGGTGACCCAGTGTTTGGTTTATGCTTCTTGTCCTGGCTAATTAATAACGATTAGCACTCCCTTTTACTCTCAGAGTGCCCTGGTTTGTATGATACGATCATTTTACCTCTAACGGGGTTTGAGAGATCTAAATGTGGTTTTGAAAGCAGGGTAAAGCAGAAAAAATTACTTCTCTTCAAATCCCTGTTGAGGTCTTCAGATAATCGGATGCTATAGACTATTTTTGGAAAGAAGGATCTTAGTTCATCTGAATGACTTGAAAAAAATTTTTGTGGGGGAGAGAGGCAAGAAATAAAATATCATTATCATCATCATCATCATCATCGCTACTACTATCATAGTTTGTGCCCTGGGAGTTTGAAATCACTTTTTATATCCCTTCCTTTGTTCTTCGTTTTGCTTTTCTAGTAACGACATTCAGAAGGGACAAAAGGATTCAGAGTGAAAAGTTAAACCGCTTAACCTCAAAGACAACCACTATTTCCAATTATATGTGGGTTCTTTCAGAGTTACTTAATATATACAAGCATTCTCCATTCTACCTTTCCAACGGTAGCATGCAAGCACATTTTTCAGCACTCTAATTGTTTTCTCATAATAATATGCTTTCAATAATAATAATAACTAAAAGATTTTTGTTTTTATTTTAAACTAATTTATTTTAAACTTATTTTAGACATATGGAATGGTCCCAAAAATAGTATAGAGGGTTTTGGTATATCACTCACCCAACTTCTCCTGCTACAGTATTTGTACAATAACCATAATATAATTATCAAAACTAGGAAATTAACATTGGTAAAATAATATTAACTAAACCATAGAGCTTATTTGAATTTTACTACTTTTTCTACTGATGTCCTTTTTCTGTTCCAGAATCCCATCCAGGATTCCACATTGATTACATTTAGCTATTCTTGTCTCCTCCAATGTATAACACATCCTCAGTCTTTCCGTGTCTTTTGTGATAACTAGGTTTTTGTTTTTGTTTTTTTAATTTTTATTTGGAGTATAGTTGATTTACGATGTTGTGTTAGTTTCAGATGTACAGCTATACATATACATATATCCACTTTTCTTTTTTTAAAGATTCTTTTCCTATATAGGCCCTTACAGAGTATTGAGTAGAGTTCCCTGTGCTATACAGCAGGTTCTTATTAGTTATCTCTTTTATATATTGATAACTAGGTTTTGACTAACTCTGCTTTCTATAGGGAATATTATTTCAGAATTATGGAGGCAAGGTTATTTTTTTAAATCTTTGGGCTTTGTATGGGAATGTAGTGGAAGGAATATGAGACTAAGAATCAGAAGCCTTTGTGAATTTGTGACAATCTCTGTATCCGTTTATGTATCAGTTCTCTTGTTTGTAAAATAGTGATGATAAAAAAAAAAAAATCCCCTAAATTCAGCTGATTCCCAGATCCTGTATTGAGTATCTCACTAGCTTATCCTAATAACCTTAGGATAAGGTTTCTAAAGGTATTTTATAAAACTAAAAGAAGCTGTACATGTCTGTGTGTATGGAGTGGTATTGACCCTTCCCAAAACTTTTTTTTTTTAAATAAACCTTTTATTTTAGTACAGTTTTAGATTTACAGAAAGATTGCTAAGATAGTACAGAGTTCATATATATACACATAACACCTCATATACTTTGTGCCCATTTTCCCCTGCTGTTAACATTTTACATTAGTATGGCATATTTGTACTAAAGAGCCAATATTGATATATTAGTAGTAGTAGTAGTAGTAGTAGTAGTAGTAGTAGTAGCATTTGGCCTCACCAAGAGGCATGTGGGATCTTAGTTACCTGACCAGGGAACGAACCCGCACCCCCCTGCATTGGAAGCGTGGAGTCTTAACCACTGGACTGCCAGGGAAGTCCCTTAATACATTATTATTAACTTTATTCGGATATCCTTAGTATTCCCCTAATGTCCTTTTTCTATTCCAGGATGCCATACAGGATATCACATTACATTTAGTTGTCATGGCTCCTTAGACTCTTCTTGACATTGAGCAAAAATTTAGTTAATGTTATAATTGTCATTAATTTTGAGTAATTAATACTTAATAAGTATTTCAATTTATCATAAGTACCTATATATATTCTCTAGCTCAGTGGGGCCCTATGCTTATGTTTATTGTATATTTGTTTAATCTTCTAAAGCAAACCCTTTGACTTGTACATTTGTGTTTGGGGCATTGTTAGATAAATTTATGACTTACTTGATATAAAAGCCTTCATTAGGAGCATGGATCCAAAATTTAACGTTGTTCCTATAGGTAAGAAAGATTTGCTTTAAATGATCTGTTTCGGGGGAAACAAGGGACTGCTTGCTTCCTTTGCTAAAGAAAAAGGAAGAGTTTCATATATCTTCTTTGATCACCTTCATGCCCAACAAAAATATAGTCCTTCTTAACTCTTCTTTGAGGAAGGAGCTATCTAGTCTTCAAGGCAATTCCCTCCAAATCTCCATTGTCTTTGATCTTTTCCAGCTCCCCCTTTGTTTTCTTTATATTTGGTCCTCCTCCCCACTTCCTTAAAAAAACTTAATAAACAGTTTTAAAAAGCAAATCTTACTATACTACTCTCTTTCTTAAAGACCTCCACTAGCTGCATATAGCGTAAATCATAGATCAGAGAATAAATCCTGTGCTCTACAAAGCCAGCCTTATACTTTTCAGTAGAAGAGTCTCCACACTCCACCTGCACCTGGCTATGATCCAGCCCCCTTCCGCTTTGAAGTCTTGCTTGATACTCCTAGTCTGTGCTCCCCCAGCTCTTCATTTACATCTCTGTTATGGCACTTAACCATATTGTAATTCACTGTTTAGCTATTTCCTTCTCCTTAAGGCAAATTCCTTAAGTCCAGGCACTCTTTCTTTATCTATGTGTCCTGTGCCAGAACACTTCCTAGTAGATGACAAAAAATTAGTGAATATTACATGTTGGGTTAGAATAACATGTCCTTTTATGTAAATAAAGAGAGAAGAGGCTTGTTTATACAAGATGATTTTTTAACTGTTGTAAGGACTCAGTATTTCCACATCCTTGCCCTTGTCCCCTAATTTTTTCAGTCTTTTGAAGGTGATTTGTGGGATTCCCTGGTTGTCCAGTGGTTAGGACTCAGTGCTTTCATTGTGGTGGCCTGCGTTCAATCCCTGGTCAGGGAACTAAGATCCCACAAGCTGCGTGGTGTGGCCGGGGGAAAAAAAAAAAAAAAAAAGGTGATTTGCACTGTTCAAATTATGCCCTTAATGGGGTGTTTTTTGTAAAATACTTTTTCCCAGACATTCTGTTAGACTCAACTTGTAGGTAGAACTTTAATCTTATTCCTAGATATAGCATGTAGTCCAGTAGCCTCTTGTCACAGGTAAGGAAGCTTTGTGCTAATAACGTCTTTAATTTTTTAGAACATTGTGCCCCCTTTATTAAAATGTATTATTAAAAACAGTAATACAGGGAGTTTTCTGTGTGTGTGCTTGAGGCAGGAGGGGTGCACTCCTGCTGCACTGGCTACAGGAGTTGGGGGGTGAGCTTGGCGGTGACGTGGTGCCCTCACATGACTGGGAGCTGCAGAGCAAAGCAGCCTTCATCCCTCCAGGGAAAGTGGAGCAGGTCTGTGGGTATAAGTGTTGCGGTAGTGCACTCGTGGCGAGAATCGGAGAAGCAAGAGACAGCAAGGATAGGCCTAGGAAAATGAAGAAATGGAGCAGCCCATGCAGAATGGAGAGGAAGACCCCCCCTTTGGGAGGGGGCGAAGGCCACCAGCCAGCAGGAAATAATACACAGGGAAAGGCTCTCCGAGTTGCCTGTAATTTCCAGTGGGCCATACCCAGTAGACAGGTCAGTGATGGGATGGGTGGAGATGGAAATGTGCATGGACGGGATGAGAGAAATCAGGAGAAAACTTAGGGAGCTGCAGTTGAGGAATTGTCTTTGTATACTTGTAGGGGAGCTCTCTAATCACCATGACCATCATGATGAATTTTGCCTTATGCCTTGACTCCTGCCATTTCCCTTGAGATTAATACTGTGATTCCCAACGTTGTTTTCTTTTTCCTTTCATTTTCCTGATATGCCTTTACTGATCCATTTGCTGTGAATCTTATGTAATTTCCATGTGTCAGGTGTTACCACCTTCTAATTAGAGATTGCCTTGGCACCCAATCTAAGTTTTTCTGTCAACAGTACAGTTTCACCCATTCTCCTGGAAAAATGTAAAGTTAATAAAACAATTAAAAAGCTTCTAAAAAAGCAAAAAAAAACAAACCCCCAAAACGAAAACAGAACAAGTAGTACAAATATAAAAGTGGATACTGTTTAAAAGTTCAGGCTACATTGTAACAAAGTAAAAAGTGAAAGTGCTGCATTCTCCATTTCATTTCTTAGAGGTAATCATTGTTATCAGTTTTACAATTTTGTAGTCAGTTTTTTTTTTTTTAATAAATTTATTTATTTATTATTTATTTTTGGCTGCGTTGGGTCCCCGTTGCTGCGTGCAGCTTTCTCTAGTTGCGGTGAGTGGGGGCCACTCTTCATTGTGGTGCGCAGGCTTCTCACTGCAGTGGCCTCTCTTGCTGCGGAGCTCGGGCTGTAGGCCTGTGCGCTTCAGTAGTTGTGGCTCGCAGGCTCTAGAGCGCAGGCTCATAGGCTTAGCTGCTCCGTGACATGTGGGATCCTCCTGGACCAGGGCTCGAACCCGTGTCCCCTGCATTGGCAGGCGGACTCCCAACCACTGCACCACCAGGGAAGCCCTGTAGTCAGGTTTTAAAATGGACATACTGTTTTGAAGAAATGCTTTAGAAATTTTGACTACGGGTTTACTCAAGTTATTAACTTCTTTTGTTGCTACTTACAAAAAAATATAGACTTTATTTTTTAGAGCAGTTTTAGATTCACAGCAAAGTTGAGCTCAAAGTTCAGAGTTCCCATATATCCATTCCCCCCTTCACATCAACTGTCATCAGCAATTCCCACCAGAGTGGTACATTTGTTACAAGAGGTGAACCAACATTGACAAATGATTATCAACCAAGGTTGTAGTTTACATTAGGGTTCACTGTTGGTGTAGTTCAGTGGTTTTGACAAATGTAGTATAATGACATGTATCCACCATTATAGTATCATACAGAACAGTTTCACTGTCCTAAAAATTTCCTATGCTCCATCTATTTATCCCTTCTTCCCCTTTAAGCCCCTGGCAACCACTGTTTTGTTTTGTTTTGTTTTGTTTGTTTGTTTTTTTAACTGTTTCCATAGTTTTGCTTTTTCCAGAATGTTACATATTTGGAGTCATAACAGTATTATAACCTTTCAGGTTGGTGTCTCTCACTTAGTATTAATAATATGTATTCAAGATACCTCTGTATCTTTTTGTGGCTTGATAGTTCATTTCTTTTTAGCGATGAATAATATTCTATTGCATGGATGTACCACGGTTAATCTGTTCGTCTATTTGACATCTTGGTTGTTTCCAAGTTATAGCAATTATGAATAAAACTACTATAACTGTCATGTGCAGGATTTTGTTTGATAAAAGTTTTAAACGCATTTGGATACCAAGGAATGCAATTGCTGGATCGTGTGGTAAGGCGGCTATGTTTAGTTTTGTAAGAAACTGCCAAACTATCTTCCAGAGTATTATTTTGCTTTCCCACCAGCAGTGAATGAGAATTCCTGTTGCTCCCACATCCTTTCTAGCATTTGGTGTTTTCAGTGTCTTGGATGTTAGCCATTCTAATATGTAGTGGTATTTCATTTTAACTTGCAATTCCCTAACGAAATAAGATGTTGAGCATCTTTTCATGTACTATTTGCTATATGTATATTTTCTTTGGTGAGGTATCAGTTTAGATATTTTGGTCAGTTTTTAATTGTTGGTGAGGTATCAGTTTAGATATTTTGCTCAGTTTTTAATTGAGTTGTTTTCTTATTGTTTGAGTTCTTTGTATATTTTGGATAATAGCCCTTTATCAGATGTGGTTTTTTTGCAGATATTTTGTCCTGATTTGTGCTTTGTCTTCTTATTCTCTTGACAGTGTCTTTCACAGAGCAGAAGTTACACATTTTAATAAAGTCCAAACTTATAAATTATTTCTTTCATGTATCATGCCTTTGGTGTAGTATGTAGAAAGTCAATACCAAACCCAGGGTCACCTAGATTATTGCTAGCTTTTACTTGATTTTCATGTCATCACGTTTATTTTGGTGGTAGATGAAAGATGTTTTATGCTTCACCACCAAGGATTATTGGCTTTGTGGTTAACATTTTGCTTTTGTGAAAATTGATGGTAATTATGTTTTTGTAGTAACAAATTTTAAATGTCAGCCTTTTTTTTCCTATAGGGTACATTTAATTCAGTTTAAATCTGCAAATTCGTGGAATTTTAGACCAAGAAACAACATAAAAGAGTGTCTAGTTCAAATTCATTTTATAAATGAGTACAGAATGGATGAGAACTATAACATGATTTGTATGAGATCAAACAGCAAATTAGTAATAAGAATAGGACTTAGGGCTTCCCTGGTGGCGCAGTGGTTGAGAGTCCGCCTGCCGATGCAGGGGACACGGGTTCGTGCCCCGGTCCCGGAAGATCCCACATGCTGCGGAGCGGCTAGGCCCGTGAGCCATGGCCACTGAGCCTGCGCGTCCGGAGCCTGTGCTCCGCAACGGGAGAGGCCACAACAGTGAGAGGCCCGCGTACCACAAAAAAAAACAAAAACAAAAAAACAAAAAACTAAATTTTAGATGTTTGTCAGATGTTTTTCTTCAGGTATACTTACCAGCTCCTGTCACATTTGCTTAACACTGCTTAATTCTTGTCCACACAGTCTTACACAGTCTTTTTGATTTTTTCCCCCTTCCATTTAATTTCAAATTAACATATTTCTATATAGTTTTAAAACTTTTGTGATGACTCCCTAATTGTTGCATTAATAAAATAGTATTAAGCTCTTCCCCTGTTGGACATTAGTTTCTACTTTTTAAAATATAGAAGAAGTGTTACCGTGAATATCATCTGCAATTTAAATTTGTAATAGCTGTGGAAAATGTGATATTCTTCTCCCAGTGTTCCCCCTCTTACCTTTTCCTTCTGGGAAAAAAGTCACAAAGTAACGCAGCATAATGCATAACTATATTTATTTATTTAAACATTTTTAAAAATTACTTTTTATTGGAGTATAGTTGCTTTACAATGTTGTGTTAGTTTCTGCTGTACAGCAAAATGAATCACCTATACGTACACATATATCCCCTCTTTCTCAGATTTCCCTCCCATGTAGGTCACCACGAGCACTGAGTAGAGTTCCCTGCTCTACACAGGAGGCTCTCATCAGTTGTCTACTTTGTACATAGTATCAGTAGTGTATATACGTCAGTCCCAATCTCCCAATTCCTCCCACCATCCCCTTCCCCCTTAGTATCCATAAGTTTGTTCTCTACGTCTGTGTTACAACTATATGTATTTTTGAATCAACACTATTTAAAATACATTTCTGGGGAAATATTTTAAAATCTATTTTAAAGTGGTATTGATGCAAAAATACATATAGCTTTCATTTTAAATATTGAGAGGTAAACATAAAATGATTATGATTTCTATTAGGGTATGAGTATTAGAGTATTTAAGTATAAAGTTCAAAAGAAAAAAAACATGCAGTTAAAAACGGGACCTCCATCTCATCTCTTGTCTCTTAGACACTTAGGTTTCTGAGTTAACCTCTAGAATCAGGCTCGTATGTATTCTAGAGCTGTCTATGCATGTTTTTTACTTTGTTTTATTTAATTTTAAAAACTATCAGTAATATTGATTTTTATTTTAACACATGTATAGATGCAAGTAACTACCACTATAGTGTGTTTACAGCATAGGATTTAAGCTTTTTTAATGCTTAAAAAATATTTTTTTTAAGGGTGGAAATGTAGAAATACTGGCTTTTCCCACCCTTTTTCAGTTTTTTAAAAAAATTAAAGTATAATTAAGATATAGTGAAATTCACCCATTTTATTTATTTATTTATTAAAAATTGAAGAATAGTTGGGGCTTCCCTGGTGGCGCAGTGGTTGAGAGTCCGCCTGCCGATGCAGGGGACGCGGGTTCGTGCCCGGGTCCAGGAGGATCCCACATGCCGCGGAGCGGCTGGGCCCGTGAGCCATGGCCGCTGAGCCTGTGCGTCTGGAGCCTGTGCTCCGCAACGGGAGAGGCCACAACAGTGAGCGGCCTGCGTACCGCAAAAAAAAAAAAAAAAAAAAAAAATTGAAGAATAGTTAATTTACAGTGTTGTTAGTTTCAGGTGTACAGCAAAGTGATTCAGTTATACATATATATATTCTTTTTCAGATTATTTTCCATTATAGGTGAAATTTACCCATTTTAAATGTGTATAGTTTGTGTTTTAACAAAATGTGTCATAGGGGACTTCCCTGGTGGTCCAGTGGGTGAGACTTCACCTTCCAGTGCAGGGGGCCCAGGTTCAATCCCTGGTTGGGGAACTGGATCCCACATGCATGCCGCAACTAAGAGTTCATATGCTGCATCTAAGAAGTCCCGTGCAGCAACTAAGACCCGGCACAGCCAAAATAAATAAATAAATAGGTAAATAGATAAATAAATAAATAAATATTTTTAAAACCTGTATCATAGTGTAGCCACCACCACAGTCTACAGCTCCTGTCAACCACTGGTCAGTTTTATTTTCTCTAATTTTGCTTTTTCCACATGCTATATGAACAAAATGACACTTCAGTGTGGTTTCTTTCACTTAGCATAATGTGTTTGAAATTCATACATGTTTTTGCTTATATGAGTAGTTTTTTCCTTTATATTGCTGAAAAATAGTCCATTGTACGGGTGAACCATAGTTTTTAAATCCATTTCCCAGTTGAGGGACATTTAAGTAGTTTCCAGACATTCACAGGCAGGTTTTGTGTGAACGTAGGTTTTTCCTTTTACTTGTGTAAATACCTAGGGACAGTATTGATGGGTTATTTGCTAAGTGTATGTTTAAGTTTATAAGAAACTGCCAAACTGTTTTCTAATGTGGCTGTACCATTTTACATTCACACCAGCAATCTATGAGAGTTTCTGTGCAATTCCATCAGCACTTGATATTGTTGGGGGTTTTTTTTAAGCTATTTTAATAGGTGCATAGTGGTATCACCTTGTGATTTTAGTTTGTATTCCCCTAATGATTAATGATGTTGAGTGCTTGCCATCTATATATATTCTTTGGTGAAATGTCTGTTTAAATCTTTGCCTACTTTAAAACTGAGTTTTCTTATTATTGTGTTTTGAGAGTTCTTTATGTATTTTGGATACAGGTCTTTTGAGATTTGTGAATATTTTCTCCCAGTCCAGGTTTTCAATATTTTCTTTTATAGATTGAGCTTTTGGGGTTGTATCTTAAGAAATCTTTGTCTCGCCCGAGGTCACCAAGATTTTCTCCTGTATATTTCTTCTAGAAATTTTATAATTTTAGGTTTTACATTTAGGTCTGTGATACATTTTGAGTTATATTTTTATTATGGTGTGAGGTATGGATTGAGGCTCATTTTTTTACATATGAATACCTAGTTCTAGCACCATATGTTGAAAATACGTATTTCTCTGTTTTTGAACCTTTGTCAATCAATTAATCATAAATATTGTAAATCAACTGTACTTCAAAAAAACATAAATGTGTGGATCTTTTCCTGGACTCAAACTGTATTATTAATGCTCTTTTGTATTGTGTTAGATAGATGCAGAATGATTTGAAAACTTAGCTGTGTTTAGAATCTGGTATTTATGAACAGTAATTTGTAGGGAATTCTCTGGTGGTCCAGTGCTTAAGACTTTGCGGTTTCACTGCCGCCCCGGGTTCAATCCCTGGTCGGGGATCTAAGATCCCACATCCCGTGTGGCCACCCAAAAAAAAGATTTTGCTAATGATTCATGATCTATTTGGAAAAACTCGAGTTATTTCTCGTGTACTAAGGATGAACTGGAATGGGTTTTCCCAGATGGCATTTTCTTTTTTGTAGAATTACTTGGTAGTTCACTAATAATATCTGTTTAAGTGTTTGTGCTTTTATTATATCATTTTTGATAGTGATAAATTTGGGAGCAGTTCTTCTTTGATTTGAAACACGGTTGTCCTAAGTTAACTACTCTAAAGATTTAATTATTTTAAAAATAGTACCCAATTATTGTTGGTAGTTTGAGATTATTCTTGTTTTTGTTTTTTTTGTTTTTTTTGCGGTACGCGGGCCTCTCACTGCTGTGGCCTCTCCCACCGTGGAGCACAGGCTCCGGACGCGCAGGCTCAGCGGCCGTGGCCCACGGGCCCAGCCGCTCCGCGGCACGTGGGATCCTCCCGGACCGGGGCACGAACCCGCGTCCCCTGCGTCGGCAGGCTGACTCTCAACCACAGCGCCACCAGGGAAGCCCGAGATTATTCTTTTAAAATTAGATCATATCAAGCTATAGAATGAAAGAGAACTGTGAGATTTGGCTGGACATTGGTGTTCTATAATACTGTGAGGTTTGAGTTAATCTAATTATCTGGATATTTATTATTTCGGAATTTAGCTGTACTTTGCAATTAACACCTTTTAAGTAACTGTTAAACTTTTAAATGTTGGAATAGAAGTTAAAATGCCAAGAGGCAGGTGTTATTTTAAAGAGATCGTTGGACAAAATATTGAAGATTAAAACAGACTTTCAAGATTGATAGCTATTTTTTCACATTTTAGTGTTTGTTGATGATTGCTTTTTCTCATTCTTGGAAGGGATACCTGCTATTAAATCCTATTCCATTTTTAAGATTAGCTTTTTGTCTTTGGAAACCCCACTCCTGTCCTATTACTCCTTTCTTTTTTTGGATAGACTCTACCACACAGTTTTATTATTTTTAATGTGGTAAAATACACATAACATAAAAATTTTCATTTTAATTATATTAAAGTGCACAGTTCAGTGGCATTAAATACATTAACAGTGTTGTACGACCATTATCACCACTGTCTAGTTGCAGAACTTTTTCTTCACTACAAGACCACCATTCTTCTCCTTAGGGACTTCACATTCTGGTGAGGGAAACAAGTAATCTAATGTTTATGATACAGTGTGGCAAACTATATGTTGGAGCTTGCTATCATTAAGCTTTATTCTTTCAACTGAAATTTTACTTTGAAAAAGCAAAGTGATTTTTGGTTAGGTTAACATTCAAGTTGTCATACCACTCCACACCTGAATTAAATTTAGGCTAGACTGAAGTCTTTAGTCTTTTGACTTAGGTCAGTTCAGGACTCACAAATCCTCATACCCTCTACTTTGTAACACGAAGGAAACCGGAAAATTGATACTCTGATTTAAAGCCAAAGTACGGGCTCTTCCTTTCTCATGGAGCAGAGAAAACCAGGATTAGAGAGAATTTCCTAGTTGTCTGCACCTGTCCTCAATTGAGCTGTTTTGACTTATTCTAATTGCAGTGACAGCTTGCTTGATTGTGGTCAAATATGGCATTATACAGGCATGCTTATCTCTTTTGGCAGATCATTAGAGGAATAGCTGTATTTGGGATACTGTGTCAAGAGATTGTTTCTGAATTCCTTGAAACTTTGGAGTTAGAACTTGATGATTTAAAGTTGAATGTTTTAGCAGTTTTAGTTAAAAGCAATGTTGTCAACATTGAACAGTATTGTGATACAGATTTTATTTGCATTCTGCCGTTAGGGTTTATTTTCTGTAGCACAAGATTGTTTAGGAAAAGTGAAACACAATACAGCCCTTTGTTTTTAAGATTCTGCAGTCTTCCTAATACAGTCAGCCTATGAAAGAGTCGATAGCCCAAATGGTTGATAATGTTTTAGTTAGCAGTTTCAATGTTCATCATAGGAAGACGAGTTCACATTATTAGATCTAGACTTCTGATTGTTTTTATAAATTTAAGAAAGTCTGAATTTGTGGCATAGTTTGATTGTTTACGGAAAAAGAATGAAAAGTTAAAATAACCCCTAGTTTGATTAGTTTTACTAATAATTTTGGCATTTATTGCTTTCAGAAAAAATAACTGTTGTCTTGTTTTTTCAGGGTAATCACTTTGATCAGTATGAAGAAGGACATTTGGAAATTGAACAAGCATCACTTGACAAGCCTATAGAATCGGTAAGATCAGTGCTTAATTTTGGGTCACAAATAGGTAGTGTTCGTGTGACACTTGATGTGAATGAAGTTAAACTTATTAATAACTTATAGTACAGTTTAGAGGTCTTGCATGCCCTACAGTAATCAAATAGAATTTGGGTTGTAATCTAATATTTAATATGTTGGGAAATCAGTGAAAAATCTAGAGACAATTTAGAATTTCGATGGAAAAATATCATTTTTGGCCCATACTGATATCCTGTTAAAGATAGCAAGTTGAAGTTTAGTGTTTTTGTAAATTGAATAAAGGAGTAAAATGTATTTTGATCCTTTAAAAAGCTTCACCTTTCCTGGGCAACACAATCATGTGTGAAATGTTCCATTAGGAACAGTTAAGGACTAATATGTTTTATTTACCAGACTCTTGTGAAACATGGTAATTTTGGTTTCTGTGGCTTGAGATGTCTGGTGTTTGTCAAAAGTTGATTGTATCTTTTCACACAACTTAATTTTAAATATTGATGCAAAGCAATAGAACAAGGAGATTTATTTTCCTGACTCTTAACTTTTGAACATTATTTTTATTTTGAAAAGCCCTTTATTTTCAGATTACACAGCCCATTGTTAAAATGTCTAAACTTGTCAGTATTGTCAGTATTTAATATTTGTGCTTAAGTGTACGTATTTAATAAGGGTTTCAGGAATTTATTGGTTAACTTGAATGAAAAATCATCAAAGAGAGAATCTCTATAGCAGTTAAGACATC